CTTTCAGAACTACTATTCATTTCGGCCCACATGGAAATAGGAAATTTTGCTCCAGAATCTATATAATTTTCTGTAATATAATCCATAAATTTGTTGAGTTTTTTATGTTTCGGCATTATAGATATAAAATYTTCAATAATACAGTTTTCTACATCTTCTTGATTCAATAATGGTAAACCAAATATATTTTTCAAAAATAAACCTATTTCCGTTTGGTTGCGATAATCTTTACTCAACCCCAAATTTTGAATGTGACGCCACCATGCTTGCCCCAAATGGAAACGACATCCTTTAATAATTATTATAGTTGGCCAAACTTTTAATGCGCCAAGATGAATAGATAATTCAAAATCCGCAAATATTTAATATTCGGGAGAACAACATAAATTTAATTTAAAACATTCAGTTTTTAATATATTAAAACATTTTGCATATGATTAGCATTCTTTATTATTAAGTAAAAAATAYCCTAAAGGTAAGTAATGGTCATTACTAATGACCATTACTTAAGCTGTGTGTTGTAAATAATTGTAAAAAAAATTTAATACAATACTTAAATGTACCATMTACATATATAGTCTTAACAGTACTTAAGTATTTAAATTTTTTTCACATGAAAACATTACTATATTTTGATTAYTGTCATTTACCATGAGAAATTGTTCGTCGTCATAAGTTATGATTTCTAACGAATCCAGCTAAAATTAATTTCCCCACTGTTTCCAGTGTTTTACAGTCATAAATGTACAAATGAAAGTATTATAGTTGTGCCTTTTAACCACCATATCAATCGTCAAACATGTAGGTATCTTAAAAGTTTGATTATTTTATCTTAAATAGATACCTATAGCAACTGTGGACCGAAGACGTACTCGGGCTATTCATCATAATTTGTCGATAAGACGGTGGACGTACTTGGGTACTGTAATATAATTTGTCGATAAGACTGCGGACGCACTCGGGCTATAAAAAAGGTAATAATTAAAAACGGGACGCACTCGGGATATCCCCCTATAGGTACATCTACATAGAAATGTGTGTTTTTTTACTAAGAAATGTTGGGAAGCAAGTACCACTTTGTATGTCAAAAAAAGTGATTTGAGATATGTGTTCATATGTATATTAACATTTTCAGAATAAATTTGGAATTTAATAGTTATAATATCACAATGAATTCATTATTTTCAAAAAAATTAATTCTAAAAGTTATTTCATTTAAACAAGTTAGTTAATATTCCACCAATATATATCACCATGATATAAAATCTACATAAATCAACTATCTATGTATTTTGACAGAAATATCACATATTTTCATACTGATAAGTTTGAGTTCTATTATTCTTATAATATTTGACCTATTTTTACTCTCTTTCCATTTATGTGTCTTTTGAAAGATTAGTTTCCTCAACAAAAATATAAGAGTCAAGTAAGATTATTTGACTTAAAATTTAAAAACATGAAAAAGTTGTTTAAAAATTTAGTGGCACTCCAAAATATAATAAATTCTTAAATCATTTTCTAGAAATGTCGGGAAGAGGTTTTTTAAAGAGCCGTTTGGCTCAGGTTGCTCCTAAACAACCTGAGGAACCAGCTAAACCAGAGGAACCTCCAAAACTAGCAGCACTACCACCTACTGATATACCGAAAATTCCAATTGCTAGTACAAGTCCTCAAACCCTAGTTGCTGGTAATCAACAAGTTGCTCGCGGAAGAAGGGTAATTATTGTTGTAGTTTTGTTTTACTTGTAGAAATTTATCATTTAAATTACATTATTACATTAATATTTCAAAAGTTTACGGTACTACACAAAATTAAAGACTTATTAATATTATATATTTATGTTTGAATTACTAATATTTACATTAAAATAATTTGACATTAGTAATATTAAATTGTTTTTTATGCTCTACAGTTAATTAATTAATCTCTTGTTTTTATTATTTTTTGAAAAATTATTATGAATAATAATACATGTTTTTAATTGTTTTTCAAGCAACTTGTTCCTGGGATTAGTTATGGGTAATGAATTTACTTAAGTTAAAACATATATTTTATAACTTGGTGTTTGCAGGCTATGTTAGCTAATATTGCTCAAGGAATTAGCTCTCCAAAGTTATGTGACGATGTTTCAACAAAATTCTCAAACATCGATCTAGGAAGTGTAAAAGATATTGTGTTAGTATTATTATATTTTAATAATTTATAAAAAATGTATTTATCAATGATAATTTATAATATTAAATAAACCTAAAAAAAAATATTTGCATGTAAGTTTCCGAATAAAATATTATTTTCTTATTGCTTTTTGTATCATATTTGCCTGTATATAGAATTTTAGATATAATCTGTCTAGCAAAAAAACTTGTAAATTTTGAGTAATCATATGAGGTACCTTGACAATCAATGTCGGTTTTGGTATGGCAGGAGGTCGGGATGCACTKAAAAACCAATTTTTGCCAGGTCTCGTTTTCTCGCTAGACAGAGTATATAGTTTATGGTTTATCATCTCTTATTATTTGTATTATTATTTTTTATAAAACATTTCCATATATTTCTTTTAAATTGATAATGAAATTTATTTATTTTCTCAGGCGTCCAACTATTAGTCCAGAGCATAAAAAAGCAGAGGAATCCACACTTCTAAAGCAGCCACAAACACAAATTGTAGATATTCCAGCAGCAAAGGAAGAAAAGTCTCCAGTTATATGTCGAGTCTTAAAAAATTCTGAAAAAGATACTTACCAAATGTACGATAAATATATGTTTTGCTTTATGATTGGTTTAATAATTTTTAAAGTAATAAGTAGAAGAATGTATTATGATGAATTACACAAATGAAATACTATACACGACAATACAGAAAATTGATCAAATTTTTCAGAGACACCAAGCTTTGTGATGATCAATTTCTTTAGTAAAYAGTAKTTGTCTAATACTCTAATCATTCACTGGTGAAATAAATCACTAGTCGTCATCCATAAAATTAAGTTTCCCTTAAAGTTTCCCATAGTATCGCTTATAGTGTTTTTATCATTAAGTCATTCCTTGGTTGGTTGAATTTTCAACTAAAAATATATTTAATATACCTAATTAAAATGTATAGGTTTATTTCTACATATTCTAAAATGTTCTAATTTGTAAGCCTTCATTTAAACCATTGTCAATTAGTATTTAGAAATTGTAATTTGTCGTGTACCTATACTTAATTAATACTTTCTACGTTATATTGATTTTAAATAGTTGCTTGTATTCATAAAGCTAATGTCTACCATTTATTTTTGTTTTTTGTTGTTTATTTTTAGGACTCAATTATCATCAAATTACATTAGAATTAAATTAGAAGAAGACAAAGGAATATATGAATATAGAGTTGATTTTAATCCACCAGTTGATGCCAAATCTGCTAGGTTTTTTTTGTTGAATGAACACAAAGATTTATTCCCTGTAAAAACATTTGATGGAACAGTACTCTATATACCAAAAATGTTACCACAAAATGTAACTTAAACAAATTATAATTCAAAATGTTTTTTATAACATGTTAAATATTTTATTAGGTAACAACATTAGTGGGAAGATTAAGAGACGAATCTGAAGTAACTTTAACGATAACATTTAAGCGTAAAAATTTGTTGCGTGAATGTATTCATTTTTATAATGTTTTTCTACGTACAATTATGAAGATACTTGGTCTTGTAGAATTTGGTAGGAGTTGTTATGATCAAAATAAAAGGATACTCATTCCTGAATTCAAGTAAGCAATAAATCTAATTTACTTATGGTATTGAGCGTAGTTGTATAATTTTTTGAATATTTATTGTAGACTTGAAGTTTGGCCAGGGTATATAACTACTATTGACGAGTTTGAAAATGGTCTTTATATGTGTGCTGAGGTATCACACAGAGTTTTACGCGTACAAACAGTTCTTCAAATAATGTAAGCATATTCATTCTTTTTGTATATACTTCTTAACTGTTAGATTATGTACTGTAACTGTAGATATTGGCGTTTCTAAAAAATACATTACATTACATTTTTTCTAAGTATATTTTTTTAATATTATGTATCAGATTATTTTAAAATCTTTTAAATATATTGTGTAGTAAATAATGAAAATTGCTTTATAGTGGCTCACTTAAAAATTCTAGACAAAGTTTTATTAGTTAGTTCAGAGATTGATTGTAAACTAAAAAGTAAAAATAACTTAATTTTTAGTAGGAAAAGAAGTAGTATGGAAATAATATCTTACCTTTAAAAAGTAATAAAGGGTAATATTGTGAAAACTGTTTTTCGGGAGAAATAACCACTCAAGCTGTAATCCAAACCAAGCAACCAAATTTTCACACTATAAAGGCGAAAATRTTTTTTACTGTGCAATGTTTTTAATTTTCGATAACATAAATACGAAAAAAGTTCTTATTGTTTAAGAATTCATTATTTTTGAGTTTTATAGACTTGAAGAACTATTTTTTAGTTCTGATATCGAAAAAATATAAATAATGTTGTACCTTATAAATATTAATATTTTCCACTTTATTTAGACAGAGAAAACACCTGCGAGTGTAGTGTCCTCTTAAAATAGGTTTTCTAAAAAACAAATCGCACTTAATTTTATTCCAATCAATATAAAATAAATGAAGCATTATTTTTGTTTTGTACTTTGGAATTCAAATTATGATTTTTTGTAAGTTAGTTTTTAATGGATAATTAAAAAAAATTGTTTATAGGCAGTTATGTTCTGTATTATTATTTGTAATACTTCAATTTTATTATAAAATAAAGCAGTATAATAAAAAGTTTCTTTCAGATATTTATACTCATGTTATAATAATACGTAGATATCATTTAACAGTTTTGTAAACCTATAAAATTAATAATTCCCAAGTAATTTTGTATGTAGCATTTTATTTTTATATCTTAATCATATTAATGCCATTATAATTATTTGGTTCTTTTAATTACAGTACAACAGTACAGTTATCCCTTGTATCTGTTGGGGGTTACGTCCGAGCAAAGTTATGCGGATAAGCAAAATAGGAAGATTAAGTTTTATTTATATTGTATTTAATTTTTTAAATCTATTAAGGTTAATATTTTTTTACAATTATATATTTGATTAATTATTATTTTTATTATACGTGATTTATTATGGAATTTATTAATTATCTATCATACATATATTACGAATTATGAAAAAACCGCTGAACAAATTAACGATATATGAAAATAGAATAAGTCATAATGTAACGCTTATCTGTGCATACAGTACATAAAAACATATTGTAGAGTTCGACCTAACGATATTACAACAATTATTTACAATTTTCTAAAATAATTATGTACTGAGTTTATATAATAATGATCAAATGTTATCACTGACTCAACCATGGATAATCGAAACCGCGAGTAATGAACCCGTGGATAACGATGGATTACTGTACTTGAGATTGTAGCTAATCATCTATGCGCCTGCAAGATTTCATTTAAAATCTTGTTTGTATATTATTTTAGGACAGACCTAATGATGAATTCGAAAAACACCAATACGGATAGTAAGCAAGAAATAATGGCTGCATTGTGTGGTTCTACAGTAATAACACATTACAACCGTAAAACTTACAGAGTCGACGATGTAGACTTTACAATGAATCCTTTATCAACTTTTGACCAAAATGGTGTTGAAGTAATAATTTTAACTAGATACTTATATGTTGTATACTTATTACTTATACTTATAATCTTAAATGTTACTAATTTTTCTTTTTCTCTGTTTAGGTCACATATAAAGATTATTATAAAAAAATGTATGATGTTGAAATTAAAAATCTCCAACAGCCTATGCTCATAACAAAACCAAAAAAAAAAGATATAAACTCTAAAAAAGTTAATGTTGGTAATTAAATAGACAAATTAAAATCATGTTATCATCAATTTTTTTTTTCAAATTTACAGGATTTAGGTATTTGTTGCTTAGTTCCTGAACTTTGTAATTTAACTGGGCTTACTGATGCAATGAAATCCGATTTTAAATTGATGAAGGCTCTTCAACAACATACTTTGGTTACACCAGAAGTGCGACAAAATGCTATAATTGAATTCGTGAATCGTATAAATGGTATAAAATTGATTATAAGCCTACTTGCACTTTATTAAATGCTTTAATATAATATGTAGCAATATATTAATTCATTTTAATATCAATAAATTTTATTATAAAATTATGTTCAATTGGAAATTTTAATTTTTAATTAATTTTTCAGGTCATGAAGTAGCTAGCAAGAAATTTAGAGATTGGGGTCTTATGATGCGTCCAGTCCCAGTGAAAATGGAAGGCCCTGTGTATAAAAGAGAAACTATTTTGCTTGGAAATAATATCAGAAAACAAGTTGGAATGAATATGGATTGGGGAATGGATGTGGCTAAAAATGCAATGTTTGTTGCTGTATGTATTTAAAAATATGTTATTTAATGTTCCTTGCAATTAGAAGTTGATTCATAATCTTATTGAACTTAAAAAAATATTCAGACTTTATCTATTAGAAAAAAATTTAAATATTATTTTCTAGGTGAATATGTTTAATTGGGCCATTTTATATAATCCAAAAGATGAATCAACAGCTAAATCATTTTGCAAACAATTGGCTATATGTGGCCGTCCTCTTGGTATGGACATTAATCCTCCAAAGCCAATTAAAGTGAATGGAACAACTCCAGAAGTTTTTGTTAGCACTGTTAACAATACAGTAAAAAATAATCCAGAAATACAATTAGTTGTTATTATATTTCCAAATCAAAGAGAAGATCGATATAACGCTGTCAAACGGATATGTTGTTCAGAAATTGGAATTCCATCTCAAGTAACAAAAGATATTATAATAAACTAATTATTTTTTATCATATTTATATTTTATTGTATTTGGTATTTTAGGTAATAATCTCAAGGACATTAGCTAAGCCAGAGCGATTACAATCAATTACTCAGAAGATAGCTTTACAAATTAATTGTAAATTAGGAGGTGCTTGTTGGGCTGTTGACATCCCATTGGTAAGGTTTTCCTGTATTACATTTTCTAAATAAATTTGTTTTTTTCACTGTTGATAACCTTTAATTATAATTTTAAAATATTTTACTAACTTAAGATAGCGCAATAGTAAAATTAAACATCTCTGACACACATATTATATTTAGTTATGTTTCCCAAAACATAGATGATAGCAACTGAATAAGCTGTCAATACTGTATATAGATATATGTTGCTAATCATCTTATAGTGCTTGTTATTTTATTTTTTAGAAAAATACTATGATAGTTGGAATTGATGTGTACCATGAAAAGGGTAAACAGATGAGTAGTGTTGTTGGTTTTGTAGCTTCAATGGACAAGACATTTACTGAATGGTATTCAGTTGCTGCAATGCAAAGAAGTACTCATCAAGAACTTATGAAATCTGTGCAAGATGCTTTCCATAAAGTGGTCATCCAATTTAAAGCAGTTAGTTTTTGTTGTACTACTTTAACTTTTGTTGTAATATTGTTTTTTATAGTTAATTATAATACTTTATTATAGAAAAATGGGTTGTTGCCTGAAAAAATTATTATATATAGAGATGGTGTTTCTGATGGGGATTTAAAACAAGTTGAAGAAATTGAACTATCAGATTTAATTGAATCTTTTAAAAGTTACCCAGGAAATTATAATCCTATGGTTTCTTTAATTATTGTTCAAAAACGTATAAATACCAGAGTTTTCCAGGTAATGTATGACAAATTAAATTAGAACATTTAATTATTGACACACTTAAAATAACTTTTATGCTAATCCAAATTAGGTAAACGTAAATATAATAGTTTGTAAAGTAAAAATGTCCTTATTATTGATTTTTGATAAGAGGACATTACACCCCCCAATATGTTGTCTCCATCCTACAAAAATACCACATGATAAATTTTACAATTAACCATTTTACTCTTTTTTTTTTTAATGAATTTAAATTTAAATTTAATGAATTGTCCCATGATAAATGTTCAAGTTAATATATAATTTTTTTTTTTTTTTATTGGTTCAGCATCAACATCGTGGTTATTAGCTTACTATTGATTAGGTTATATATTATATGGATTTTTTACATGATTGTTAAGAGAAGCAAGAAAGAGAAAAAAACAAAAAAAAAAAAGCAAAATAAATTACAATAAATAATTAAGTTAAATTAGGTTGTACATTTCAATTTTTTTTTAAAAAGTGATGATTTTTTGTGAGTCAGCACTGGGTCCTATGGCTTCATATAGATTGTCAGGTATTCCGAATTCTTCTCTGGCTTCAGTGAATATCTGGCAGTGGATGATGATGTGTTTGATCGTAAGGGGAATATTGCAAGAGAGGCATATCGGTGGTTCGGTCTTTTCCATTAGGCACCCATGAGTAACTCTTTGTGTGGCCAATGCTAAGACGGTTCATAATAACATCTTCCTTTCGATTTGAGTAGTTGAGCTTTGGCCAAGGTTCAACTGAATGTTTGAATTCCCTTAATTTGTTTTCGGTAACTTGAAGCCAATCAGAGTTTCATAATCGCATACAGTATTTGTCAACGTTCCTGATAATATCTACTGGTGACATACAAGAAAGTGTTAGGGCGTTGGGGTTGTTTATAGCATTTCGGGTTGCATTGTCTGCTTCTTCGTTTCCTCTAATATTACAGTGACCTGGAGTCCATATGAAACGTATGTATTTATTCGATAGATGTATTAGGTTTTTATCTTTATTGCTAAGGGATTGGTCAGAGAATTATATTTATGTTTGACAGGGCGTTGAGTGAGTCTCTGAACATATGTCGATTCTGTTCTGGTTTGCATAAACTGCTGTTTGGACTCCTTTTAAAAGAGCTATGTATTCAGCTGTATAAATGCTGCTATGACTATTTAATTGGAAYACCTGAGTAGAACTTTGATGTATAACAGCCAGACCTATGCCTGTAGAAGTTTTGGATGCGTCTGTATAGATTTGTGAATTATTGTGGTTAACTGATAGTATGAATCAATTCATTAAATAAATTTTGGTAGACTATTTCGGGTGTTTCTTTTTTTGCTTGGGTACTGAGACTGGTATCAATTTCAAAGTTTCGTGTACTCCACGGAGGAGTAAGACAGGTTTCATATTGAAGGATTGTATCAGGAGAGATGTTGTTGTCGGACATTTCTTTACGAAGTCTTGAGTTTAGTGGATTTCTGCGATTTGTGTTTAAATAATGTGTAGATGTAGATTGATTTATATTTAAATAATGAACAGTTGAATTATCAGGAGTCGACAAAATTCTGGTTATATACTTGAGTGATAGTCTTAGTCTGCGGTATTGAAGTGGAGGCTCCCCAGAGATGGCTAATAGGCTGGAGATAGGACTGCTTCGGAAGACTCCAGTTGCACATCTTATTCCAGTGTTATGAATCGGGTCAAGAATTTTGGATATATTACTATTGGAGTTTCCGTAGCAGATTGAGCCGTAGTCAAGTTTTGATCTAACTAGTGATCTAAATATATAACTATAATATAGTAATTTAATATTATAATAAATATAGCATAAAATATATTATAAAATATAWCATTAAAATTACCTGGCTATATAACGCACCACTGCGACCACCCTGATCCTGATGGCTCAGCACATGCCGGCTCAGCAATACTAATAAAATCCAATATCAAGCACACAATACTTCTTTCGTTTCAAAATAATTGCATACAAGCTACAAACATTGCCTTGACCCTAAACCACATTCCTACTACTATCTCCTCAGCCTACTTTCGCCCTGGCATAAAAATAAGTACGCTCGAGCTTTCACGCTATTTTACCTCCCTCGGCAACAACTTTTTAATAGGTGGTGACTTTAACTCAAAACATCCCCGGTGGGGCTTTAGTTCACCTAACACCAGAGGGCGGCTACTAAATAACTTTTTACTCAATCACAATTTTAAAATCATTTCCCCATCTAACCCTACATATTGGCCCTCACATGCCAATAGACAACCTGATGTTCTAGATTTCTTCATAACTTCCCTCCCCGGTCATATAAATCATTCCATATCAAATCTCTCAGACTTATCTTCTGACCACACACCTTTACTCCTAATCTTAAATGAATTGTCTACTACAACGACTACTCGTCATACATTMACTCCAGGGAAAACTAATTGGGAAAAATTTAGCCAAACTATTGACGACCTCATTTTTTTACTAAACATCCCTTTAAAAACACCTTCAGACTTGGATAACGYAGTCCAATCATTTACAAATGTCCTTCAAAACGCAGCACGAAATTCTTCCCAAATGCTCTCAAATACCCCCAAAGTCACTAGAGATTTACCTCTTCACATAATTGTTTTTTTATTTCGAAATACTTAATTTTGATATTTTTATTATTTTTGTTATATTAGTATGTAAATGAAAAGTATTCAAATCCAAGTCCTGGAACTGTTATTGATAGTACTGTAACCAGAAGAAATTATTTTGATTTTTTCTTGGTTTCTCAACATGTTCGTCAGGTAAAGTACATTTCTTTTAAAAATGTTTTTTAATCTATCTTTTTTTAAACTTTTTAATTATTATTATGATTTTTTTTATATGTAGGGCACTGTTAACCCTACTCATTATATTGTTCTAAAAAATGGATGTAATTTAAGTGTTGAAAATGTTCAAAGACTATCTTATAAGTTGTGTCACTTGTATTATAATTGGTGTGGTACTGTGAAAGTTCCTGCTCCTGTTCAAGTAAATATAAGTCATGAGTATTAAATCATTTAGACCTAAATACAACATATTTTGTTGAAGTTTTGATCATGAATGAAAAAATAGATTTAGTTATTTTTGATTTATGAATACAAACATAAAATACAGYAAAACTTGTGTTAAGATACTTTGAGACGTGATTTACTACATCCACTCAATGATCACAAAATATATTGAAATGCATAATTGTACGACTAGGTCCACATTGCATAATTTTCTGTGTAGTAAAAGCAATCAAATAAAAACAATTATTATTTTTTTATTACTTATCACATGTCATACCATGTTATGAATCAATATAATGTTCCTGAAAATATGTTCTTAAATTTGTTAGTATTTTATTAGATCCAAGATGATTAATTTAAATATTTAATAGTTTTTTGTTTTAAAATCATTATTCATATCTTAATAAATTATTTCAAGTATTCAGAAGTTTTTTTTTATTTCTTGAKTGTATATTTTATTGGATTTTAATGTTGAGTTATATTGATTGTTGCTTAAATAAAATAAATAAATTATTACAATTAGTAATATTACTTATGTTGTTACCATAGTATTTTTAGTATTTAAAAATAACTAAATAAAAACAATTAATGATGTAAAAACCTTGGTATAATTCTAAAAACAGTTACTTTTGTAACTTCAAATTTCACTGTTTATAGTATATTTATTTTCTAAGCATGTATTATTTTTCTTATAATGTTATATATAAATGTATTTTAATATTATTATTATTTTAATTAACATTTTTATTATGTTTTTTTTTCAGTATGCTCACAAACTGGCATACCTTATAGGACAAAATGTTAGACAAATGCCAAGTGATGGTTTATGCAATTCTCTATTTTTTCTTTGACGGACGTGTACAAATTTGGACGACCAGGGAGGTCTTTTCAGTTTATTATTTACATGTACACTATTAATCATTTTTGATTATCAAGGCTATTACTGAAATGTAATAACAATTGTTATTTTTTTTTCTTATTGATATTTTTCTCTGATACTGTGATTGTAAAAATTATTCAAATGCTTAAAATGACTTAAATGAAAATCCTTTGTTCCATATGTTTTGTACTTTGGTTTAAAAAGTAAATCACCTTTTTTATTGTCAAGAATACATTTTATTTTATTTTTTCCTTACATTTTATTCAATATTATTTTGATATGATTTATGACTTATCAGTAGAGGTCTTAGTGGTCTTACTTTTATATATGAAACAAACATATATGTACTAGAATATTGTGAGCATGTGAATTTAACAGAATGAAACGTATGATTATTTTATGTGAATTAATAAATGATATAATACCGGAACAGATATCTGATGAATATGTAAATTAGTTTATCGTGTAAATAATTTTAATCGGTATGAAAATTTATATTATTTACTATCTGCTTGTATCATAAKAAATAGATATTAATTTAACAAAAAGAAAAAATTGTTAATAGATAAATTAAAAGAATCAGCAGCAAAAAGATGATTGATAATTTTTTTTTTTAGGTCATTAAAATCAAACAATTGTTAGATTGCTTAAAGTACCAAAATGGTATATTAATAAAGTTGTTGRTTTAGTTTTAAATATTTTAGAAGAATAACTATTTTAAAATATCTTGCAAATCAATACACATGTGTTTTCAAATTTTGTAGAGTTCTCGTGTTTATTTTGATATTACTATGTGGCACAATGCAATGATGTGTGTACAGTGTACACACTTGTTTTTCGATAACATTTTTGTGACAAACCCTTGAGTAGTCTWATTAATCTAAAAATAAACCAATATTTAATTAAAATTTTTACTTTAATACTAAAATAAACAAATAATAAGAATCCATCATTATGAAGTATTTACTTTTAAAGTATTGTAACAACTAATAATTATGGCTGTGATATTAATGCATTTAAAACTATCATAATATGCTGTATATATATATGCATATATGCGTCCAACGTAGGCAACACT